ATTAAAATTATAAAATTATAAGTTTTGTTTTATTATAATTGGTATTTGAAATTTTTTCTAAACAATAAATATTATATGATAAAACACCTTCTTTATTAATAGAAAATTAACGCTTTTTGGTAAAGTTATTATGAAGAAAAAGATATTAAATTCTAACTATATTCATGATACTAATAATTTTAAGAATATTATTTGATGATGTGTTAAAAACCTTAGCATCAACTTTAAAAATCTGTAGAATTTTGTAGAAACAAAATCTTTTAAAATTTTTGTTCAAATCTTTAAAAAATAATTGTAGTAAAAAGAAATTGTATTATATAAAGATAATTATAGGAAAGAATTTCTTAGAAAACTCATGATAATTTTTTTTTGCCTATAAAATTAAATTTATTATATTTTGTTGAAAAAAAATCGGTAAGTTTTATAAATATAATTTTTAATATTTAATCGGTTATTTTTAAAGATATATATATATATATATATATATATATATATATATATATATATTTAAAAAATATTTAAATATATAAATTATTTATATGTATTAAAATATAAATAAAATATAAAATGATTAAGTTATTGAAGAATTATTTTAGTGATACCATCTCAAAGTAATACTACCTAAAAGTGATATTATTTTAGCAATAATTTTTTTGCCTAGAAGTGATATAGTTTAAAAGTGATATTGCTAAAAAATAGTTGTGCTTAGAAATAGCCTTATTCTAAACAGACATAATGAATAAAAAAGTAACTAAAATGCTTTGAAAAATACAAAGTGCATATTTCTTTTTTCAATCCTCTTTCCTTCTTTCTTGTATGAAGTGCAATAATGTAGCTAACAACGCATCTATTAGATTCTTGATTTTATTATTTTCTTAAAATATTAAAAGTTTTGCTATATTTCAAGCTTTATTGAATAAATCAGCCAATTTTTGTTTTGTTTGAACATTCTTGACTTTCAATTCTTCTTCTAATATTCTTGACTCTCAAATGATACTTTCTTTTAATGTATTTGGATCTTATATAAAAAAATTAGATTTTTTGGCCAATTTCATTACTCTTTAATTGTCACAATTGAGGTATGCATCTTATAGAATATGAATAGATATATTTGCCAACACCCAAGCCACCTTCATTATTGCATATGTAACTAAAGTTGGAAAAGTAAGTATTTTAAGTGTTGTTGATTTGAACCTAATTATTGAGGTGCAACTTTAGTATTAAACCAATATGAACTTACATCATTAAATTGTATGATCAAAATTGCCACCAACTTTATAGGTTAGTATCATACATATGTTGTCTTTCTTGAAAATATAGTAAATATTTGGTTGTAGAAGATAAATTTGTATTTTAAGATCTCTAAAAAATCCTAATTAAATTTTGAATAAAATTTAAATAAATATTAGGTAAATCCTAATAATCTTAATAAAATCCTAAATAAATCCTAAATAAATTCTCACAATTTAAATAAAATTTTAAAGATATTCTAATCAAATTTTGAATAAATATTAATTAAGTCTTACCAAATCTTAAATAAATCCTAAACAATCTATATAGCAATTATAAAACTTCAATAGCTATTAATTAAATTGTAGGTCTTACTTAAAAAATTGAGTACATTTCAAAGTACATGTTAATAACAAGTATAAGAAAATTAATAGAAAATTGATTTTATTGATTGAAATAAAAAGCTCTTAATTTGCTTTGGTGTTTGTCATCATTTTTTTCTAACTTTAATGTCAATCTATCAATAATAATAGCTTCTTACAAAACCATTCACTTGCCCTCAAAATTTACTAAATTATTAAAAATTAATTTTATTATTTTTTACATAATTTATTTTCAATCTAACTAACAAATTGCTGAAAATTAAACAAATTTTTACTAATCCTTGAAATCTTAATTCCAAGACCTTAATCCAATTGAATTTTAATAATCTTTAATTTAAAAATTTATTTAAACTTAAATTCATAAAATATATTTATAATAAATAAATCTATAACTCCATAAAAAAAATTAATTATCAATCTAATATAATACATACAATATTTTCAAAAAATAAATTCTTTTTATTTTACAAAATTAAAAATCTCCTAAAACAACTATAACATTTCAAAATTCTTATAAAGTCAATATTAATTCAAATTACTTAAACCTATATTCAAAAAAAATTCATGAAGTTTTTTTTTTTTTTTAATTCTGCTCTCCAATCAACAAAAAAACCTTATAATTGCCATAAATGTATAGTTTTGTGCTTTAATGTTTGATTTCGATTTATATTTATAACTAATTTTCTTTGAATATTAATATCTAATTTTTTAAAATATTCAATTTATGGTTCTATTATAGTTTTTTTATCTTGTTTGTAACCCTACAAAATAATAGATAGTTTCCAACATAGAATAGATTAGCTATAGTTTAAAAATTAATATAGTTATAATAATAATGTTGAATCTATTATTTGTGCAAAAAATACTAATATAAATATAAAAGAACAAGACCTTAATATATGTGGATTTTGTAGATATAAAATTGTGTGATAAAGGTATATGGAATAGTGTAGAAGGTTAATATTGGATATACTTCATCATTTATTAATTAACTTTACCTTTTTCTAATAAAACGTCGCATAATAAAGAAGAAACTTGTATGTCTTTCAAAAGTGAGAGAAATAATAGCTTATTCACACTATTAAAGAGATCAAAAGATAGCACAAAGTTGAAATAAGTACCATCTTAAAAAATATTATCATGTGACAATTAGATTGTGATGAATGATGAGGTGCTTGAAATGAAATAAGTGTTCCTTAATCTTTACTAAGTTTAATGCCCTATCAAAAAATAGCAGCTTTAAGATAATATAGTAGCTCCAATTGTTGTATGTTGATTTATCAAAAGACATGCATAGGACGATCTACATTTATTGCCATCTAATTTGGCAATGATTTATAGTGTGCAAAGAGAGCTAAATTTGAAAAAAGGGCAAGAAATGCCTTATGCAGCAATTGAAATCCTTTAAAGTGATTGAGACGAGAAGTTGTAGTAATACAACATATCAATAAGTACTAACAAGGGAATCACTTGACTAAGTCTTTAGTATATTTTTGAATGACATCTAAAATAAAAGATACAAGAAATAAAAATATTTGTTAGAGTCAAAAGTATTTATCAAAAGAAATTGATAGCAATGGTTTAGATCTTGTGACTACCAATGAATAGTAGCCTTTGAATATTAGATACTACAAATATATGTGAATTATCAAGGACATAATAAAATTGCCATTAAGAACAGGTTATTTCTACCCTTAATATCAAGAATTCTTGATTAATTTAATCTACCCAAGATTTATACCAAAATAGATCAACAAAGAGTATACAACATAATATGTATGAAAAAAGAAATAAATAGAAGACTTTATTTTGAACCAAGTGTGGACATTTTAAATATAATTTCATCTCTTTTTTAACTCTTATTAATGTCTTTATTTTTTCCAATCTAATTTCAAGAGTCTTTAGTCTTTTGATAGGAATTCACTTGCATAATAGAATGAGAAAGACATCAATAAAAAAGTTGAAAAAATAAAATCTAAGAAAGAAACTCTTCAATCTATAAAGTAGTGTTCTACTTGTAATAATGTTATTACTAAAGAGAAAAATCTAATACATTCAAAGTTTGAAACAAAAATTTCTTTTGAAAGTTTTATCCATAGAAATTCCACAAGGAATATATATATATATATATATATATATATATATTTTTTAAATATAATTTTTAACTTATTCTATTTATCTTCCTTGAAGTTCTCTTTGACAATTGGCTAGAATGTAGGTGTCTACTTTATGCTTTATACATTTGAGCTACAAAATATAGTACACCAATATTTATACAAACATATGATATATAATTTGATGATTGGCATGAGACATATGCTAAAGGTCTAAAAATCTAGATTGATTATTGGTGGTGGCAAAAAAATATTGTATATGTTAAGAATTGTTTGATCTAGCAAAAAATCTACAAAAACTTTGAAAAAGATTCATAGTTAACAAATATGATTAGACATCATAAGACATAATTAGATAGGTTTGCATCTACAAACATCGCCATGTTTAAAGAAGTGCCTCATAATTAATATGGCTTTTCTTTTCACTTCATCATTATTTTCTTGTTTTTATAGTTCTTATAGCCTACATTTTTAAGACCATGTTAGCATATGTAGGTGGTGGAGCTTTTACTAGATCAACACCAAAGATAGAGATAAAAGTAGACCAACTTAAAGGCAATCTATTCAGAACAATGCATATCAATTTCATCTTATCAACCTTTATGTTGATGCCAACCAATGCATCAACTTTAAAATCTATATCTTACAAATAATTCTTTACTACGTGCATGTGATTACGAGCACTTTTATTTTTTTATTTTTTTGGTCTGAAACAATCTTACACTAATGTACATGTCTTACAAAGCATAGCTTAAAATAATTCTAACACCTTACTACATCTATGTCAAATGTGTTGACTTTAATGAAGACTCTCTTCTTCACTACAGCCATCAAAATTGATTTTATTTTTGCCTTTAGTTGTTTGATTTGATACATAGTGAGAAATGGCTCCCATTTGTACCTTAACTGAAATGAGTGCACGTCATTTCTTTGAAGATCTTTTTCCAAAACTTGAGATTGAGATTTCATTCTCAAATTTACTTTGTCATTTGATTTTATCAAAATTAGAGGATTATTTGTAGTCTAAATCCCCTTGACAGCTTTCATGACATGGGCCGTTCTGTACTTCTGAGACAGCTGTTTTCAATGCATGGGACTAAGGTATCAATTTCAGCTTGAAAATCATTTAACCACCAACACGTGTCACTAACCCACTGGGCTGAGGAAGGTTGAAAGCTATCCAGCCTTGAAGAAAAACGATCTGAAATCCATGTATTGAAGCAGCAACCAACTCCAACTGGTACCCATTGCAAATGTGAAGTCATGCACGGCATCATAGAAGGAATCTCCTATTTATGAAGTCTGGAGGTCTGCTCCCATACAGATGCAAATCTATATGATTGACACTAGAACTTTCACTTGCCTGAAGTATTCTGACAATCTTCACGCAGATCATAAACAAAAATGCAAACATGTAATTCATTATCTCTCAGAACGCAGCAACCTCTTCAGCTGTGGAACAGATCTTAATATTAAAACCCGTCCAACCAGAGGTGCGTGAAACTAACTGCATCAAACGATTAAGCATTTGCAATTTTATCAAGGACATGCAGAATACTTCAAGAAGGAACAAGAAGCAACAAAATTTCGAAAACGAAAATCCAAGGAATGTACACGTTACTTGCTATTGCGATACTCGTCATGTTGGTTCCAAGAAAGTCTCCAAAGGAAAGCTGAAGGGGTCTCGCTAGACAAAGCATTAGCATATAGAAATAAATAAGATAAGGTAATCAATAAAATGTACGTTCAACATGAAACGACCCTTGAAAAGTAGGACATACTTTAAATCCTCCACAGACATACGTTGAGGTCACCTTTTCACAATGTTGTATGCTGATGGAGAAGTACAAGCAAGTATCTCCAGAATTACACAATTACGTGAATTTTCAGAAAAGGAGCAATTGGGGATATCATTCATGAAAAATTTTAGTATCCTGGCCTAAAAATGAGGTAGACATGTTAGTAAATTTCTTCATAGCGCCGCACTACACGACTAAAATTTAAAAAGCATAGGTTAAATTAATAAAAGGTTACTAAGAAGAACCTGTACAGGCGTTTGTTTCCTGAAGTATCTTCTAGTTGACATCGTCCAACACACTAGTACTTGATGCGACCAGTGGCTTTAAGCCAGGTAAGAAGCTGAAGCAATCCTTCTTCTAGTGGTCGCGACTTGTAACCTAGCTCCCTTTCTGCCTTCTCACTCGAGTACGCCCACTGGTGCTTTAAAATATTTACAGACTGCACAATTCAACAATAGGAGTCTTGAGGACTAAATTCCTTCGGGATTAAAGGTAGATACTTTACGAAGGAAAAATTAGAAATCCTTGAAGTTCCTTTGAACTTACATGAGTGGTAATGAAAGGTATTTGGTGGGATATGCCAGTCCATGCGCCAAAACGCGCCCACTGGACACAAAGAAAGCCAGCCACATCCAAGACCCACATTGGGATAGTGACTTTTGCAGGATTTGTCTTCGTTAGCCCAGCAGCCAGGTCAAAGACTTCGTGAAAGGACATGTTGTCTCCACACAACATATACCGCTCACCTACCCTTCCTATTTCAATTGCAGCAAGATAAGCAACTACGACATCATCGATGTGGCAGAAGGAAAACTTCTTAACTTTATAGCCAACATACCCAGGCATTCGGCCGTTAAATCGTTCAATCATCTGCGAGTAACATAACAAACGATGAACGTGACAGCAGAGCCAAAACCCTAGTACAAAATTCAGCAAAGACAAAGCTTCCTTTACGAGTGTTACTTGACACAATTTTTGTCGTAATAAGTATCGACAAAACGATCAAAAACCGATTTGAATCGCTATCAAATGTTTAGTAGAGTTTGAAGGATGCTGCAAAGGAACACAGATGTAAAACCTGAAATTGCATTTGGATCAAAGCCAACAGAGACTCGCACCATAATTAAATTAGACCATTGCCAACACTACCATATACAAAACTTCTTTGTATTGGATTTTTGTACCGTGGTACTCATATGCCATGCTTCTACGTAAATTATAGAAGTTGCATGAAAATCATCAGCTACAGGTGCCACAATTTATCTATGAAATAGATGATCTCAAAACAAGCACGGAGAGGGTTATAAGAAGGGCACATACCATCTCAGCTAGAGAGTTGCCTTTAGTCATTGACCCGGGGCCGTATATTATTCCTGGATACAAAGAAACAATTGGCACACCCTCCATAGCAGCTTCACAAGCAAGCTTATCCGCAAATGCTTTTGATTCCTCGTACGGCGAGTAGAACGCCTTCATCGAGTGAAACTGCGAAAATCCTCAATCAGACAAAAAACTTTTCACTGGAAAGAACTGAAAAAGTTGATGCATTCAATTAATACGGATCTAGACACATGAGCGGCTAAAAGATGAATAGTTTTCACAAACTCGTCAACGGTGTTTTCAAAAGTGAGAGAGTTAAAAGAATTGGAATCCAAACCTGGGTTTCATCTCCAATGTAGCCGTCAGTTGGACCCACGGCGAAAAAGGAAGAAGTATAGATAAGTTTCTTCACACTAGGAGTGGCCTTCACAGCTTCTATTACATTCTTAAACCCCTCCACGTTCACCTACTACAACAAAATGCAATGACGCCAAAGGTATGAATTCTCTATAATATCCTACAGTGATGAACTTCAAATTCTACGGTAGGCACGGAAAGAAAACGATAACCTAAATGAAGGTTTAAGACGAATATTACAAAAGCTCAGAATGGACTACTTGCAACACCTAATTGTGATTTTCTTCCAATTCATTGAGCATTCCTCAGTCTTCAAAGGGTAAGGATCTAGAAGCAGTAGAAAAAACTGCCTTGTAAGGTCTCCAACAGAATTGGCAGCAATAAGATAAGAGCATCACCACTTGTACACTACCTGAAAACTATACCCAAACTGAAAAACCTATACCTGAAAAATCTATATCAGCGATAGAGGATAAATATATAGAATTCTTGATGGTGCTTGAATGACGTCAAATCGGTGCGCCTGTTTCTATTTGGGAATACCCAACTATGGTGGGAACTCGAAGTTGAGGCGCACAGATTCTTGCCTGAATAGAGTTGCTTGAATGCAGACATAGTGAGGATTGCAGTCCCAGCATTGGAGTTCTAAATAACTTGTTGTCATACACACACAGGATACAGGCTTGCAGTGGATTGATGCATCTCTAACTGATTGCCCATGCATAGAAATATGGTTGACTGGAGTTCCCTACATACAGAAAATTTATATAAAAATATAAAAATATAAAATAAAAACCCCAGAGGAGATGTCCTAATCAGTAGGAAGGAAAGATAACATACTTTGAAGAACTGGGAGGAGTCCGGCAACCACGATCCCACCAACGCAGCAGTGTGCACAACATAGTCGCACCCCTCTATTGCCCTTCTCACAGACTCCCCATCGCGAATGTCGCCCTCGACGAGCTCCACCTCAGGCGGCAGCTCCTGCACCTGACTCGTCTTCCTCACGAGCGCCACCACGGTAAGTCCAGCATGAACTAACATCCCGCATAGTCTCCCTCCTAAGTACCCAGTGGCCCCTGTCACCATAACCCTCCTCATCTTCCCCGTCTCCTCCCCAAAACTCAACTCCCACCAATTCCACTTCCAAACGATCTCAAATTCCCACGGCTCCCACTAACGAGAACTCAAGCCCTAATCAGCAATTTCGACGAATTCCGGTGCTCAAGCTTGAGAAGATAGGATGCAGGAGGTTTTCAGAAGCTCCTCGGTGTAGCAGCAATGTGAACGAGTCTAACCTGTACCAACAGCAATCTTCAAAGGTGAGAGGAACCCACTCGAATTAGGAAACCGCTGATGCTATAATCGACTTCGAATCGAAGCAATTCCTGTGCACAAATCGCCAATTCGAAGACAAACGCGAATTGCAAAGGCGGGCTAAGCTCGAGGCCATCGCCGACCTCAAGAGCCCCTCGTCACCAATGTGGAGAGTTAAGATGTTTCAAGGCTCATCCAAAAGTGTAGATATCAGAAGCCCTGTTTAGTAAATTTATTTGGATTTATATTTCTATCTTCTTCTCTGACCCAACTAAGGTTTAATCCATACATTGATTAGTGTTTGTATGTCAAAAAATCAATAGCATCCAAATATTTTTCTTGTAGAACAAAGATTTATTCATTAATTAGTGTTTGAATATGAGAATAATAATATCAATTTAATATTTTTATTAGAATAGACTTTGATGTGTAATTATAATTGAATTCTATTGTAATTAGTTTCTCACTAAAGGATTATAAACAAATAGACTATTCTATAAAATCCTATAATTTTACTGTTTTGTCTATGAAGAGTGTAAACATCTTCTATGCTATTCAAGTTCTATTCTAGTCTAGTAGAAGAACTCCTCATTTATCCAATTGTTAATCTAATTTTTATAAAGTTTTTGCAATAAGCAATTATAGTTTAGGAAAATAGATCAAATTATCATTCTAATTTATTGTCAGAGATATATATAGGAACTCTAGTAAAAGTAGATAAAAATAGGTTAATTTCATAATACCTATATGATTAGATAAAAGTAGATAAAAGTAGATAAAAATATGTTAATTTCATAATACCTTTTAGATAAACTCCCTAAAAGCTTTATAGATGTTGCTTTGACTTTATATGTGTTTGTAGTTGATTCGTAAGTTAGAAACTTAGTCAGCAAGTTAACTACATGTAAGTAGCTTGCGGAACAAGCTAATTATATGGCGCACATATAGAAAACTTGCCTTGTAAGTTAAGATACGTTGTTGGAGTAGAGAGAGTTTGCTTCAAGAAAGCGCTAGGCTTTTGGCTACCACTAAGTGTTCAATCCAGTCAAGAATATTAAAGTTTCAAGTTTATATATATATATATATATATATAATATTTTCTCTTTTAGGGCAATTACATCAATACATAAGCCTAAGTTCAAAAAAAGACACCCAAATATATCACAAAATATCTTAAAACCTTAAATATCCTTATGGAAAAAAATTCCAAACTTCAACAATTCATATCTCACAATTGGACTGTCCAAACAAACTAAAATTTTACATGAAGTATTGGTATACCTTCAACAACTACCAAAACAAATTTTAACCACAAATTTGTTGCAAATCTTGAGATATCGCCAAAATTCCAGTAGTAGCTTCAAATCCTTACTTATATACACCTACATGCAAATTTCTTTATATCTCACAAACTAAATACTCAAATACCATGAAACTTTGATCTATAGCTTTTCAACCTATTAATATACACATATAGAAATTTTGAGCCAAAAAATCATTAAGATATTTAAGATATGGCTCCAACCATTACTATCAACAAAATAACTTACTTACTGTCTTTGAATTATATGTATTGTCTTCAATTCCTTCTAACTCCTTTATTTAGAATTAAAATTCATCAAATAGTGTATGGAAAGTATAGCAAAAAAAGTGTTTTTTCTAATTCCAATCATTAATCCTTCATTGTTCTCTAGAAGCGTATATTATGCCCCAAAGATTGATAATAGATATGAAATTGATACCTTAACTTTGAGTACCTATAACTCCTTCATAAAAACTCCAAATCACACAAAATTTGTATCCAAACCGTATCCAAAAACCTAAACTTGTTGATCTTAGCTTCTAAAGCTCAAATGACCTCGGAAGAGAAATCCTAATTTCTAATAAGGCCTCAAGTAGCCTCCTTGAAGCCCATTGGATATGACATTTGACCAATAGGGATGAAGATTTTCACCCCTTGCCTTCATCTAACCATACCTTGCTTTCATCCTTTTCAATAAGCCTCCTAATAGTTTAGACTTTCATCTTTAGACTCCAACCTTATCTTAAGCTTTATACTAAATATTTAAATCCTACATAATATGAATACTATAATTAAAATACATGAACTTCCAAATAAATTTTCTTATATCAATTCTCTTTAAATTTACTTAGTAACCACTTTAATCCACATCAAGACTTACAAATATAATATATGTTCTAATTAATTTTTACATAGTATAAGTAACTATAGTATGATAACTTTTCTTGCAAAGTCAATACGTTTTAGGGGTCTAATAGGACATTGTCATATAGCTCTTAGTTAAGAGTATATATATGGAGGCAAGAGTGAAGCCTTCTTTACTCTTATCAATGCCTTTCTAGTCTTTAGTCTTATTTCTACACTTGTTAGTCTTCTTGTTTTTAGCAATAGCCATTCTAGTTCAATAATATATCATTTTTTAGTGACTTTCTAGTTCTTTTCAACAACATAAGAGTCTATTGAAGATTTCTTTCTTTAAGATTCCTACCCTTGATAGTTTGATAAGAGTGCTAACTTATTATTTCTATCTTATTTTAAAAGTGTTTGGATTAATCTACTTTTATTGTTGTATTTTGAAGGTTGTGGACTATCTACCTTTAAACAAATAATTTTATTTTCTAACACTGATCTTTTCTTTAAAGAAAGTAGATTGTCCTTCTTTGTAGAAATTTTCATTTGATATTAGAGGTTACAAATTATCCTTGTCCAATTTAATTTTTTGAACTTGTTTGAATTATCTATAAAAAAAGAAGATTATGGATGCTATTCTTAATAGAAGTGAGAATAGATTTGCAACTATTATAGATCTTCATGAGCTTCTCAATACTTTAGGAGTAGAAATCTCAAGTATTTTTAAAGTGAATCATGGATGTACTATTCTTATGCCTATGAAAGAGTTCCAGAGTTTGAGGCAAAAAATTGTGTAGTTGAAGGAAGCAAGTAGATCTACCTCATAACCAAATCTAGAGAATTTTGCTTCTACAAGTATGATAGGGACAAGAATTAGTATGCTTGAGAAGTTTAATGGAATAAGATCAAAATTTTGAAGATTTTTGCAACGAGTCAAGCTCTATCTAAGATTGGATCCTTTCTAATAATCTGATAGATTTACTCAAGTTAGATTCTTAGGTACATTTCTATGAAGAAGTGCTTTCTTTTGATTTGTACCTTTAATAAAAAAGGATTTTTAAATCTTTTATGATTTGAATTCATTCTTAAAAGTATTTATCGCTACATTTGGAGAAAGTGATGCAAAAGAAGTAGCAAAGACCAAATTCTTATCTTTACAGTAAAGATCACATTCAGCCACCACATATGCTATTGAATTTTAAATCCTTATTTGTGACGTGGACTCGAATGATAAAGCTCTTATCAATCAATTTTGATATGGATTGAAGGATAATGTCAAAGATTTTTATTGACAATATCGAACGTAGAATCTTTTAAATAATTTCTTACTTAAGCCATTACATGCGACAATTAATTATTTGAAAGATGTCAAGAATAAAGACTTAGGTAGAGAAGAAAAAATCAAATAATGATGGAAGCTTTCAAATTTTCAAAAACACATTTATTAAGGCTAGAACCAATGCAAATTGATATGGTACGCTTTAAATCTCTCATAGAGCAAAAAAAGATTCAACAATGTCAAGACTGTTTATGCTTATATTATTGAGAAGCTAAACATAGTATTTAATATTGTTCAAAGAAACAACATAACCACAAAATAAAAATCATGGTTGCTAAAGAAGACAATGTGTCAAAAAACGAGTTTTTCTAGCTACAATATAGACTATGCGATTGAAATCTTATATAATTCCTAGTAAAGGTCCTATTTTCTCCTCAAATCCATAACCTTGTTTCACAATAGAAGTTTATTTAGGACCAAAAAATCACAAAGTCTTAGCTTTGTTAGATTTAGGAGCCTCAACATATTTTATAAATAAAGATTTTGTCTAAAAATAAGAGATATCATAAATTAATAAAACTAAACTTATACATATAGAAGTCATAAATGGTTGTTTGTTATCTTTTAGAGATGTTATGTATGAAATTTTTCTTTGAGATTAGCAATTAAAGTTTAAAATAGCATGGTAATATTTTAGGTAATAAGATCTCTATCTAATTTAGTTATTTTAAGATTATCTTGGTTAAAAAAATATAATCTTCAAATATATTAGATTTTTTATAATTTTAATTTTTTTGATAATTTAATCTAAAATCTCGTTAGTAAAGTAGAAAGACATAAGTTTTATACATTCATATCATAATTGGTAGGTGCAAGAGCTTTTATGCATGTTGTAAAAGAAAGATTATCTTTTGTTTTATATGCCATGTCTATTTCTGATGGTGAGAAGACATCAAGTATATTATAGACTTACAAATATACTAATTACTTTTCAACATCTAATGAATGATGTCTTTCGTGAATTTCTTAATGATTTGATTATTTATTATTTGGACAACATCTTAATCTATTCTAAAAACACAAAAAAACATGAAGTTCATATTCATTGTATATTACAAAAACTTAAAGATGCAGGATTATATACTAAGTTAGAAAAGTATATATTCTACACTATTCAAATTGACTTCTTAGGATACATCATTTTTAATAAAGGACTAATAATGGATTTAAAAGAAGATTCAAACTATCATAGATTGGAAGATTTTAAGAATAATAAAAGACTGTAATACTTTTTGAATTTTATAAATTACTATCAGATCTTCATGAAGAATTTTTTACAAGTTGCAATTCAACTTACATGTTTGACTTTTAAAGACAAACTTGAGTGGAATAAAAAATCCAAAGCATCATTTGATGCTTTAAAAAAGAAATTTATTCCTTCACTAATCTCATATCATGTTAACTTCTCTAAGTTACTTTTTATGGAAACACATGTATCAAACTTTGCCTTAAGTGCAGTATTATCACAAATGGGAGTAGATGATAAATTTCATCCATTAACTTTTCATTCCAAAAACATTTCAGTAGCTAAGATTAATTATAAGATCCAAAATAAAGAAATCCTTGCAATTATAGATTCATTTTAAGAATGGCATTACTATTTAGAAGGCACCTTGAGTCCAATCACAATATATACAAATTATAAGAACCTTAAGTATATCATGTTAGCATGAGTTTTGAATCTTCGCCA